GTCCTCTTCCACTATCCCTGTCCTCAATGCTAGTCCTATTCCCGTTCCGCCACTGCCTTTCTCTTTGTGGTTCTTTTCTCGCCCCCCCCACCCTGACTGTTACTTTCGCACCCGTTTGTCCCCCAAGGTCTCGCTCACTCTGATGGCCCCAGTGCACGTATATTGGGTGCAAAACGGCTGACTCTAATCGCCCCATTGATGTGAACACATGCTAGAAACAATGAATAACAAGTTCGTTCGACTTTCGCCACCTGTCACGCCCAGCTGTGATGTCCTATACTTTGATTTGGCCGGGTCGCCATGCCTTTCTTGTGTCCGCTCGCGTATAAACCTGTATGAGCGTCGCTCTCGCTCTCCGATCCCATTCTTGGTTCAACATTTTCCACAATCCAGTCTTTCTGTGAACAAACGGCTCTGACCCCGCAGTACGTGACACAGCTGCACACATACAGACACTGGTATTCTCACACACACACACACACTGCTGCGCACCAAACTCTGGTGTACCTGTGTGCCCGTGTTTTTTATACACATGCTTGTGTGCACTTGCGTATTTGCTTGTGTGTGTGCGTGTTCACGTTCGCCGTGCAGCGTGTCTTGACCCAGGTCTCTTACATGCGCGCGCATTCGTGGATCGGTTTTCATTTGAGTTTCATTTCCTTTGTTGGCGACCCACTTGCTTTCCTTCCTTCCTACCTTCCTTATTACCAAATGTGATCCTAACAAAAATACAGATATGTCATCGATGATTATTTTCATCAGTCATTACGGTGGGTCAGGAATGGATCCAACCGTCGTGAATCGCTCTTATCGATAGTCTGACATAAGATTGCTGTTGAACGTCCGTTGGCTAATTTGGGTCGCACATTCCTATGTGATAGTACAGATATAAGAAACAGTGAAAAACATTAACTCATATCAGGTGGTAGGACTCAGTCTACCTTATTGAGTAAGCTGGATCAAGCGAGACTAATTCAACACGAACGAAAGAGAAGCATTTGTGTACTCCGATTCTTACAAACAAATATTGTGTTTCTGGTGTTGAGCGCATGCCAATTATTATGGCTTATTTGCGTTCACGGTGATATTTGCAAATCAAGTAGTCCCCCTGTCGTTTCAAGTTGCTTCAGTATCATTTAAAGTTATCCTATTTTGAAATCCAAATTGCCGATCTAGGACATCGACTTGGCCAAAGTTGACACAAGTTCTTTTCAAGCCTCAATCCAGTTAATCGAATAAAGGCATCTACCTGATAGATGCTCACCTCATCGCAGTTATTCTAGTGGGAAAGTAATTGAAAAGCGGTCAACGCTCTCCCTTTTCTTTTTTACTACCGTTATTGAGTACACGATTCTATACATTTTCCGCGAAATGGGAAGCGGTCAGTTCAGGTGCTGCTACGCAGATGAACCCGAGGAGGCGAATAATTGCGCCCATTCTAGGATCTTCAGAACCAAGTTGACTTCGATGTGTACGGAGACCACTGACTGTTGTCAGGAGTATCTGTTTAAATTGAACGAATATCGAAAACATCGTTTTCTTACATAACGATTCTCTCCATGTGTTGATTGTCGAAATTGCAGCTCAGGGATAGGAGGTTTCGGCTCTCAATTTGAATGTTTTCGCGGTTCGAGTCCTAACAAGGACGAGTCAGTTCTCTCATGCCTCTTATCGGTCATTGAAAGTTGTTTTCACAACCATTGTGATTTGGCAACAACTGGAAATGATGCATGTCAAAATGACACCTTTCCTCTGAATGTTCTCCTGTTACCAGAGGGTATTGGTATGATAGATACCCTAGATTTTTCGGTGGCTAACCTAACCGTCTGTATTCGTGTAGAAACCTGGAGTCTGACAGGCCGGTCTTACAAGTGACAGATTGAGATACCGTCGCACTACCTTTCTCTGTTTATCAGTAGTTGCGAATGGATTGCTGCAGTCCGGGCGTTCCCACTTTGATACAGATTTTTTGGCTCTCTCGATATAGATTATAAAAACAGACCTATGTTCGGAGAAGAATTGTGTATTTTCATAAAAAATGTCAAATGAAGATTGATTTGATTGATTATGGAAAATGTATTAGATCTGAATTCACACCTGATCAATGTAAAGGATTCATACCGCTGTTTGTGGCTACTTTCTCATTTTATAGGCTGCAGTGTAAACCTAATGAATGCACAGGATCGCTGTTTAACTTTCTTCCCGGAAACCGATGTATCATTTAAGCTTGATGAATCGCAGAAACACATCAAGGCTTCTGTAAT